CTACGATTACGTCTCTTGCGACAATAAATTTTTCATTATTTATGTCCCATAGTTTTAAACCATTTGGTTCATAGCCAACTAAAACTGTTTTACACGATTTTTCATCGAATTTTCTTTTTCCGTTTTTAATATGGACATACACTGTTGAACCAAATATCTTCAAATATTTTATACTAGGCTTTCTATTGTGCCATGCCTCATACGGAGTTTTTGAACTATCATCAAGTGCCCTAGTCGGAATCCTGTTAATTAAATATGTTGCTGTCAAAACAGCTTCACCCCAGTAACTTGTATCTAATTTAGCATCATTTACCATACTACGAGCTTTTTCAGTAATCGTTCTGATCATCCTTTCTGATACGCCGTTTAATTGCGGTGTATATGGAACAGTCAAATGGTAACTTATACCTTTCTGTACACAATATTCACGCATGTCACTGGATAGATATTCCCTACCATTATCTATATAGAGATTTACAACTTTAAGGTTGAAATGTGCCTCACTTTTCGCTACAAAATCCTTAAACATTGTAAAAACATCTGATTTATGTTTCATTAAATACGTAACACAATAATGTGTGTGTTGATCCACAAAAATAACATAGTAGTTTTTGTCGTCAATTGAAACCGGTGTTATTGGCCCGCATACATCAGAATGGATTACATAAAGGGGTCTATTTATATACTGTTTATTTTTCTGTTTTTCAAAACGCAATCTGGCTTGCTTGCCATTTAAACATGCTTCACATATCTCATCAATTGGATTAACGTTATCTAGAAGATTATTGTGACTAAATAAATTATTTCTCTTAATTTCCAGTAATTTCCCTTTACTAATGTGACCTAATCTCTCATGCCATAACCGATATTCATTATTTTTCTTTTCCACATTTGATGTATAGGCTTTAAATTCAATAATTGGGGAATTGAACATACCTGAATTTTCAGCAACAACATATCCATCCTTCAATATTTTTACACCTTTACTGCCAAACGTAACGGTCATTCCAGCCGCCTGCAGTCGGTTGACAGAAATTAAGTTTTCTGCAACATCCTCGCAATAGAGCACATCCTCAAGCGTGATTTGGTTTCCATTGTCGAGTCTGACAATACCGCGTTTCTTTGCAAAAATAAATTCGCCATGCTTGGCAATAGCAATTTTAATGGGAGAATCAAGGTCGACGCTATCAATGAACAGTTTCTCGTCATTTAAGATATGATCTGTGGCACCAGAATCCAATACAAATTTGACCTTCTTATTTTCACTTTTGGATTTATTTTTATCAAAACGACTTAACATAAACGCGAAGCCGGGTTGAGTTGATGCTATTTGTGCTTGTTTGTTATTTTCTTTATTTTTATCATTTGTAATTCTTTTAAACGCAAAACAATCTTTTTTAATATGCCCTTCCTTTCCACAGTGATGACACTTGATATTAAACTTTCCTTTTCCCTTTAATTGCTTTCGAATTCCACTGTTACTGTTCTTAAATGGTCTATTTTTATAATTATTGTTATTGTATACCGCTGCCTTCATAACTTTCCTGCTTGTATTACTGCTATCGTTTTTAATTTTTATCTCGTGGTCGAGCAATCTGTTCTTTACGAAAGCTAAAGTAAGATTTTCCTCAGCTAGGGTCTCAATCGCAGTTATTACTCCATTATATGACGATGGCAAGGTCAATAGCAAGTGCGACACTTTGTCCATTTCGTCGATTTTCGCCCCTGACGCTAACAACTCACTCATCAGTTCATCGAAAATGTTAAAATGACACAGTAGTGCTGTCTCACTCTGCAACTTCACCGACAGCAATCTTTTTCGAACCGCTAACTGCGACGCCAGACTTTTGAGCTCATAAATGGCGTCTAAATTCCTGAGAATTTGTCGCGCCGTGTTGTCGCTCGTCGCAAAGTTTAAGAAAGAGTCGCTGAGGTATTCTATCAGAGTGCTTTTAGCACAACGCTCTGCCTTTTTCCAGTAATCGTCAGCATTATCCGGAACATTCTCGTCAATTACTTTAAGCACATCTAACTCGGCGAATAGGACTCTAATTCTAAATTTCCACACTGAATACTTTTCTCCGTCAAAAGCCTTAATGTTGCGTTTTGCTTTTTCCATGATACTGTACTTTGCACACACACCCTTAGCTATATGTATATGTGTATGTATGAGGGACACAATTTCACAACGTGGTGCAAATCAAAGCAATTTTTCTAACTAACTAATTTTTCACTCGTCAAACTATGTTAGGCGTAGTCTGGGCCCATAACCTGTTGGGATTCCTCTTTTAAATAATAATATATGCGTAGTTAGTTTTAGTTTTATCAATTATATTACTTTATTTTGGCACAGCACACAACCACCACTCACGAGATCAGAAAGAAAAAGGGAAGAAAAAAAGTCAACCGCGTGGTTTACGTTTTTAGTGTTACCAGCGAGTGAAAACCTTATAATACTATAATGTCTTTTTTGGTATTTACTAAATTAACATTAGGGATATTCAATAGTTTTCCGCTGGTCAGATGTCCCAGGAGTGGTAGGCATGGGTGATCTGGAGCGTCCTGCTGGTTTGGCGTATTGCCGTTGCAGCTGGTAGTTACCCCCGGATTGGTATGGTGTCTCTTTAGGGAAGAATTCATCGGGTCGGCCGTCTCCGTGAGCTTCCATGGTGTATTTCTGCGGTTAGTGGCACTGACTTACGTTTTATTTGTGGTACTTCTGGCCGTGGTACTTTGGCCGTGAAATACCTAGAGTTTTGTACTGTTTTTTTTCGCTGATTGCGAAATAATACAGAATAGGTAGAGTTGTTGATCGAGAGTTCTTCATTTTAGTAATTGCGTGCGTTGCTTAAGACTATTTTATTTTCCGGAGTGCTGACGCACCGCGATCCACAATGCACGCTTTAATGGCTAATTATAGACGGACTTTATGCCCAGATCTCTCTCTCTCGAGTTTGGTTCTCCAGCAACACACTATGTCACGCTATGATGAGTTGTCATAAAATTCTCAGTGTCAGAGTCGAAGTCAAAGAACCGTCCACAGATGAAGATGAAATTATACTGAGATGGCAAAGGGAAATCAACCAACCAACGAAACAACCTTCCATGGTCTGTCTCTATGGTCATGTCAAAGTTGAGAGACAAACGTGTCGTAATTGATTTTTATGGTCTTTTGTCATTGTGCTGTGCTAGATGCTGTGCTGTGCTATGCTAAATCCATCCGCGACCTCTACACACAGTTTTAGATTCTCTTGTCCTAGGTCCAATGGTTTGTTGCAGTGTTTGGAACCTCCTGAGTTCTTCGGATGGTTCTCGGGGTGTTCCTCTCAGCGCTGGGATGACCGAGCATAAACAAAGTTCGACGGTTTGGCGGAGGGATGCAAACTGGTCAGAGTTTTATTCTATGTTTGTTACCATTGATAATTATCCGGACCTATCCAACTTTGAAAAGTTCCAGCATCTGCAAGATCTTGCTTGCGTGATTCGGCGTTGGAGACAATTCGATCGTTAGAACTCTCGGATGGCAACTATAACATGGCACTAGAGTTATTGGAAAAGAGATTTAATAATCGACGATCGGTCATTCGGGCACACATTACTGAGATCCTGGAGCTCCAGGCTCTGGAAAATGGGTCAGTGGCTGTTCAAACATGAACATGTCGATGTACGAGTACATTAAGAAAAGATTCTGTACACAATCTATATATTTCTAAATTTAAATGTAGTAGTACATAAAGTCGATAATTTACGACCGTTTGAAAGAAAGGGCAAAGATGTGTGGTAATAAATACGCGACAAGCAACACACAAGTGGAGATCCCACTGATCAAATGTAGATCTAAGCATTAATGTTGTATGCAATGCGTTGCATGCACTCAAACAACCCCCACGGTAACTGTAGCCGTTCCATGGGTCTAGCGATAATAATAGAATATCAATTGTACCACATACATTGTTTGTAAACTGATATAAGGCTCTGATTTTAAGAATAAAATTTATTTTGAATTTACAACTCAACTCGCAAATGTCTAGACTTTTCTAAAGGTCTTAACATTTTGGTCCTTCGAGACTCTCCGTTGTTTCCCCCTGTGGTAAGAGCACGGAGTTAAACCAGCTCCTTAAAGACTGCAGCACCACTGTCTGGTAGCACTGTAGCTCCAAAAGTTGCGAAATAATAAACTCGGGTTTCCCTTTTGTAGTAAGAAACCAAGTATATAAAAATTAATGAAACAGAAGTTTCAAATAAATTCGATAAAATACGTGCTATACAGGCAGTATTTTTGAATTCTTACAATATAATTTATATTGTAGTCGTGTAAAGAAATACGCGACGGGGGCGTGTTCGAAGCCGAAACATCGAAAGTGAAAATAAAATCCAGCAACATCAAAAGTACAAAGTGAAGTGGAGGTTAGCAAATTGGAAAGAAAAACCAAGCAGCCAAAAATAAAAAAAAAATAAAAATTTTTTTTTAAAGTGTGACTGTGACTGAAAAAAAATAATATTTTTTTTTGTGTGTGTTTAAAAAAGAAAACCACGACAAAAAAATAACGACGCCAGTGCCAACAAGCAGTATTGACTATTGCATCAACAACAGCTTCAATAACTATAGCAGCCGCAACTATAGCAGCGGAAACTATAGCAGCGTCAACTACAGCAGCAGCGTCAACTACAACAACAGCGACGTCAGAAGCGGAAACAACAGCAGCGTCAACAGCGACTTCAAAGGCGGCGACAGCAACTACGGCAGCAGCGTCAACTACAGCAGCAGCGACATTAGCAACTACAAAAGACGGCAGCGGCAGCAGTAACAGCAACAGCAGAAGAAGATTCATCAGCTAAGTTCAGATATACTCGTATTTTATTTTTAAAACTATTTTAACTTAATTAAGTACAAGATGTTGTCGGAAAAAATTATTCAGTTGTTGGAGGCACAGTCAGCGATAGTAGCTGAGATAAGAAGGATTGAGGCTGGTCATTTGACCAGTGACGTAATCCAAAGGCTAGGAGAGCTAAAAAATGAGGTTACAGCTAATCATGCTACTTTAGTAACCTATGGTGTAGTCGATCGTTACTCGTTTACGAAAAATCAATTTGAAAAAATTGTAAAAAACATTCAGGACTGTGAAGGAGCAGACGCTCCCCCACATTATTTTTTCACCATGAAGGATCTCTTATTATTATTTACTATTATTTTGTTATTATTATGTTTTATGTTCATTATTAGGTTAAGTGACGGCATTTGTTAGTAGTTAAGCAAGCTCATAGCATTAATCAAAATTAGTTTAAGTACTTGCTCGGTCGTGACTTAGATGGGAGGGAAAAGCACAGTGATCGCTCGGGCATCACTGATAGCACTGATAAAAGCTCCAGAGTTGAGACATGAACCTCAACCACCAACATCAGTACAGAGTGGAGACACGAACCTCAACCACCAACATCTGTACAGAGAGAGCGGGAGAGCAGAGAGCGAAAGCTCTACCACCAGCATCAGCACAGAGAGCGGGAGAGCAGAGAGCGACCACCAGCACCACAAGGGTGGGTTTATAAGATCGCAAGCACATGGAAAACGAGGAGATATATTCCAGACCAGCGAGCTGAACGGACGTGCCAGTGGAAGCAGCCAAGAAGACGAAGAAGAAGACAGATTTTGACGGCGAGCTAGGAAAGGGTGAGCAAGTCTCACCGTCGTGAGGAAGAGGGCTGGCGAGCGGTGCGGTTAGGCAGGAGAAGAGGAAGAAGAAGAAGAGATAAAATAAAAATGGAACTTAAATAACTACCAGCGCGTCTTCATCTGTCGATCGGTGCGTGTTTCCCCCCCTTGCCCTGTAGTTTTTCCAGAGGTGCCGCCCGGCGATTGCCCAGGCATCTTCTGTTGATCTGTGCGTGTTCCCCCCCCCCCCACCAACCCTCCTTGCCCTGTAGTTTTTCCAGAGGTGCCGCCCGGTGATTGCCCAGGCATCCTCTCTCGATATGTGCATGTTTTCCTTCCCCCCGCAGACCTGTACCTTCCCCGAAGTGCCACCCGGCGACTGCCCAGGTATCTTTGGGAGGGTCTCTACGCCTACTCTCCTTCCCCTTGCCCTGTACTTTCCCCGAGGTGCCGCCCGGCGACTGCCCAGGCATCCTCTGGCGATCTATGGCTGTTTCCCTTCCCCCCGCAGACCTGTACCTTCCCCGAAGTGCCGCCCGGCGACTGCCCAGGTATTTTTGGGAGGGTCTCTGCGCCTACCCTCCCCCTCCTGCCCTGTAGTTTCCCCGAGGTGCCGCCCGGCGACTGCCCAGGCATCCTCTTGCTATCTATGGCTGTTTCCCTTCCCCCCGCAGACCTGTACCTTCCTCGAAGTGCCGCCCGGCGACTGCCCAGGTATCTTTTGGAGGGTCTCTGCGCCAACTCTCCTTCCCCTTGCCCTGTAGCTTTCCTTAGGTGCCGCCCGGCGACTGCCCAGGCACTCTACAGAAGATCTCGACCGTTCTACCCCCCTTTCGCACGTTTCCCTTGGCCTTGGCATCCCCGAGACGAAATCTCCGTCCCATGGCCACTCATGACTCGGAGTCCCGACAAATTATAAATATGGCTGTAATTTCGACCCTGGCTTGACTGAGAGTTATACTCCAGCCTAGATCGCATCCTTACAGGACATACAGAATAGGTATGATCTATTAAAATCTACTGGAGCCTTATCAAAAAGGAAAGTAGAAATGGCAAAGTTAGGACCAGTAGGGACTGGAACTTTGAAGAGAGATACAGAGCCAAGAATAAGCGATAGTCTTGAAAAAATTGTTGAGGAATTCGACAAATATATAGACCAGCTGAGAGCTTGTATAGAAGAAACTACTAGGAGAGTAGATCAAGCTGGCTTGCTTGAATGCCAGCGCAGGAAAAGTACCATAGAATTCCTCTCGAATAGACTTAATCAGAAGGTTGAGGATTATTTTAAAACTTTTTTTCCAAAACCCCCCCGTTGCCGGCCCAGTTTTTTATTTTAAATTTTTATTTTTTGTTTTTTTTTCATCTTTTTTTGGAGGGGGGCCATAAGAATGCAAATGGTAACATTAGTAATGGGACAGCACAGCAATAAAAGGGAAGACGATGATTTTCCCGTTCTTCCAAAAGCAAAGGTACCCACATTCTCTGGAGAAGAAAAAGAGTGGGACGGATTTTTTCAGTTTGTAACGAACCATGGATGTCACAAGCAGATGACGCAGCCAACGCTACTCCCAGGTGAAGCGATCAACACCCAGCAAAAATGCAACCTCAGCACACGGCAGAAGACAGGAGACCAGCAGAAGGGGTTTACGCAATAAGAACCTAAAATAATATTAAATAAAAAAAATTCCTAACAATATATATTTCCCGAAGTGCCAACGAAATTCCTTTCCCACGGTACTGGTGCACACCGATCACCTTACCTGGGACATTGGGAGGCGAGTGCTTAGGTAACCATCGATTATTGGATATTGGACACTGACTGCGGGGCTAATGATTAGGTAACCTTCTGTTACCGATCAGCCCGTCTGCACGCGCAGACTATAATTCGGCAATATATATTTATGTAAGAACCCTTCCCACATTCTGGAGTAGAAATAAGATATCTGTAAGACATTCATGGGAAAATCGAAGGCCGGCCGATCTATAAAAGGCACTGCCTTGCATGAAGAAAGGGGAGTCAGTCAATCAGCCATCGCGAGGCAGTCAAATCACCATCCGCGTCGTAGTACAAGTAAACCTAACATAACCGGGTAGAATAATCATACGGAAAAATAAAGAAAACCATTAAAATTAAAAGAACCAAAAAGTGTTGTGATTTCTATTTCAGTTTTCTGGCAAAGTTCCTGGTTTTCCCGATAAAGTCCTCGTGAATTATAAATATCTTGTAATTCAGGACCCTGGACAGACTGATGCATACCTCAGCCTGAAATAGGACATTACAAGTGGCGCCCGAGCAGGGACTTTAAAGGATTTTTCGTGGAAACTTCAAGAAAACCAAAATCAGGGACTTCGTGGATTAAAGACCCACTGCCATCAAAAAGGAAATTGAATCGATAACAAGTCCGCGCACTTACATAATCCGGGCGCGAAAACAAACGCGAAAGTATACGCAGTGCCGATCCTAAAAGTGCCGTTTAACAGTGACTCAGTGCCAAAAATCAACAGAAATCAACATGGAACATCACGACGACGAACAACCAGAGGAGGTATACCCTGCGGGACACTTTACCAATCCAGGGGTCAGCACCGGTTGGATCCACAAGCTCCGTCGGGACGAACTAGAAGTCCTCGCCGAAGAATTCGGATTCGGCAGCGAAGGAACGGTCGATGAACGCCGAAGGAAATTTGCCGCTCTAGTCGCCGGGCCACTCGCGCAAGAAGCCTGGGTCCGCCTAGGAGAGTTCGAGAGGCACTATGCCAAGCCAGCTTCACGCTCTCGTTCCAAGTCACCACTGCCCACTACTCCTGGACCATCCGACACTCGCCAAATGGATCCTAAGACCGGATTACGAGTCCCCGCAGCCACCGAATACCGCACTCCTGCTGCCCCGTTTCCAAGGCCCCTAGCTACAGAGACCCACCCAGCACCCGTGCCGAGGATCTTGCCAGCGATCGACCGACCCATGGAAGGGCACCACTACAACCACGCTGCACCAATGGCGGAACGCATCCGAAAGTGGGGAATCCAGTTTGACGGCCAAGATGACCCTCTATCATTCATCGAACTGCTCGAAGAACGCGCGCTCTCGTATGGGGTGGACACCAACCATCTGCCGCGGGCCATGGCCGAACTTCTCACAGACCGTGCCAGTCGTTGGTTCCGCACCAGCCGCCTACAAAGTTCCTCATGGGAAAATTTCCGCCAGGAATTCTTAACGTTCTTCTTGCCACCACGGTATTTTGAACAATTGGAAGACCGGATCCGAGCCCGAAAGCAATTGGCTGGGGAACTGTTCAAAGATTTCCTCATCGAGATACGTCTACTTATGCACCACGCTGGGTACGACGCAACCAAGGAGCTAACCAGGATCTACGACAACGCCCTCCCAGCCTACCAGATGTACGTGCGCCGCCACGAACTGCAGGACTTGTCACAGCTAACACTGCTGGCCACAGAGTTTGAGAGTATTCAAGAGCGGACCATCCCGAGCACTCTCGCACCACCACGACACACGCCCAGATACGCACGGCCTACGACAGATCAGAGGAGCGACGATTCCAATCGGACACCATTCCGGAAGCCTCATTGGAACTCGGCAGACTCACCAAGAAGACAGCCATCCAACCCAGTGAGTACGACAAAGCCCGAGGTAGCACATCGCATGATTACGACCCCCATCGCCAACCCACGCGCAGCCTGTCGCCGGTGTGGTGAAGCAGGGCATGCGGCATATGAATGCCAAAATCCCTCGATCCTGTTCTGTTGGGAATGTGGCAAGCGCGGCACCCGGACCATCGATTGCTGTCGCCAGAACACGTCGGGAAACGACTCGCGTCCTCGACTGACACGGGATCAGCCGGGAACGACGTCTGCCCCGACCCACGAATAAAAACCCCGCTACACATGAACGAGAACCGGATAGTGGCAATGGTAACCATAGGAGGACAGGCAACGGAAGCCACCGTCGACACGGGGGCATCCCGAAGCTTTATCAGTGCAAACCTCGCCCGACAACTAGACAACAACACCAACCTACAAGATGCATGCGTCCGCATACGCCTGGCCGACGGCTCGGTCAGAGAGATCACCCAGATTCTACTGGCGCACATCAGACTGGATCAAAGAAGGGTTCAAATACCCCTCCTTGTCCTACCAAACATGTTGGATCAAGTTATCGTCGGCATGGACTTCCTATGCGCCATTGAAACAACGATCCAGTGCGGTACCACACTTCTACAATTACGAGATCAGTGCCACACACCACATATCCACACCGTTCCGACCAACAGAGTACAAGGCCACGAACCCCGACACCAGAAACTGAAGCCAACGGCGGCCGTCATACGTCCGCAACCTAT